GAGCCCAGTACCAGACAAGGGGCAGGAGCTTCAATCCCCTTTCCTTGATAACTTTTTCACCTCAGTTTATGTCATGAGTTTCTAGTTTTTCACAGTGGTAAATCTTTTAAAGGTTTAGTTGCCTTGTAAAATACAGTAGATTTCAATTTGGATATAAAGCATTTCTCCATCAACATTACCATCTCTGCACCTGATTGTAAATGCCCACATTTGTTTTAATTATGTTTAGCTTCTGTAATATTCACAGGTCTCTCGTTAGCCTCTTTGCACCCAAACTAGAACCTAGGCAGTTGGCATTCTTATAAATATTTAGTGTCCCTTGTTCTTTATCTTGCAGATATTCCTCTCCTAAATTGGGCAGTGTCTAGAATGTACACTGACTTTAAGAGACCTTTGGTCTGTAGGCTTAAGTATTTCCCTCTTCCAGCAGCTCTTTCAATCTTAATTTCAATGCTTCTCATCCATTTCACTTGTGTCTGGCGTGCAGTGGAGGCAGCCAGAGACTTAACTGTGTGTGGGGAGATTCTGATGCTGTTTTGAATACCTGAATCTGCCTGTATTTGTTCCCTCCACTGTGCTCCTCTCCCTAAAAGTAGTAGTCTGTCTTCTCATCGTTACAGAAAACATTCTATTCCTTATGACATCCTAATGTGTGTATAGTCCTTGTACTCTTAAGTAAGCTCACTACATACAGAGATGGTAAGTAACATACTTGTGCTCTGTTACCCAGGTTCCTGGTTCATGTAGTTAGTATAGTTGTTCTTTTCTTTTTAAAGATTTATTTATTTATTTGAAAGAGTGACAGAGAAGAGGAGAGACAGAGAGAGACAGATCTTTCATCTGCTGGTTCACTTCCCAAATGGCTGCAACAGCTGGAGCTGGGCCAGGCCAAAGCCAGGAGCCTGGAACTCCATCTGGGTTTCCCACATCGGTAGCAGAGGCCCAAACCCTTGGGCCATTTTCTTCTGCCTTTCCAGGCGATCAACAGGAGGTTGAATCAGAAGCACAGCAGCCAGGACTTGAACTGGTACTCTGATATGGGATGTGGGCATCACAACCAGCTATTTAACCCACTGTGCCGCAGTGCTGGCCCCATCGATGTGCTGTGCTGTGCTGTGCTGACTTGCTTTCTTTCTTACCTTTTTATTTCATTTCTTTTTTCCCTCCCTCCTTCCTTCCTTTCTTCCTTCCTTCCTTCCTCCCTCCCACCCTCCCTTCCTCCTTCCCTCCCTCCCTCCCTCCCCCCTTCCTTCCTTCCTTAAAGAATCACCTAGACTCCTGGTTTAAATGGGAAGAGTAAAAATTAATCATTTGAACAGGAAAATTGAGCTTCTCTTTACTTAAAATCATTTGGGAATTAGTATTCTGTTCAAGTGATATCATACAGACCAAATTCAGGCAACCATTAAAAGAGAACTCAACTTTTGAAATCTTTTTAAATTTTAATTTTATTTATTTATTGTAAACAGGAGGTATTTCAGGTTCCTAACATCACTCTGAACATCAGGTGTCATCACGGGCCCAGAAATGGAGACAGACTGGGCGTAACACGTGGATTGGCAATTACACCCAAAGGATTAAACTTCTGAATATACTCCTGATTTGAGGGATGGGACCATGCAGGCACACATCTTTCACAGAGTAAGAATTAAAATGACAGTGAGGCTGATGTCACATAGCTTGTATTTTAGAAGATTATACTTTACTAGAATACAAATTTTAAACG